GTGACTGTGTGTGTATATTGTGTGAGTGACTGCATCTGGCAGGGGAGAATGACTTTGTGGTGGTAAGTGACGTGTGTGTGTGAGTGCGATGTGTGTGTGAATGTGATGTATACCGGTATATGAATGCGTGCGACTGTGTATTTGGCAGGTGAGAACGACATAGAGATGCGAGGGAGTGACTGAGTGAGTGTGAGGCGAGTGATTAGTGTCTGTGGATATGTATCTGGCAGGTGAAAATGACAGTAAGTATCTGTGTATATAAGTGAGTGTTCGTAACTGTGTGTGTGAATAAGTAAGTGTGACAGTGTATCTGGCAGGTCAGAATGACATGATATTGGGGGTATGTGACTGTTGGTGACTGTGTGTGTGTGTATAGGTGCTTGTGAATGTGCATGTGGCAGGTCAGAACGACATTGAGATTCGGAATCTGTGACTGTTGGTGATTGTTTGTTTCGAAGTGTGTGTGCCTGTGTATCTGGGAGGTGAGTATGACATTGAGATTGGGAATGTGTGAAAGTGATTGTTGGTGACTCTGTGTTTCGAAGTGTGCGTTACTGTCCATATGGCAAGTGAAAGTAACATTGAGATGCTCCAGATGGTTGGTTTGGGTGTGGCAATGGCAAATGTTGGCCCTTCGGTCAAAGCAGTGGCAGACCATGTGTCGAGCTCTAACGACCATGATGGCTTCGCAGCTGCTGTTGACCCTAGAGATTTGCCCTCACTGCTGGACTCTGGTGCTGGGACTACGATGCGTGAGTAATCACTACAAGTGCCGTAAAACGGTTGTGATATAAATCTTAGCATTCTGTATTATCCAGTTTGTGCTGCTATTCAAGAAGTTCAGATTTCAGCAATAAAAAAATATGATAGTTCTCATTGTTGCACATGTAATGAATTTATAGTTAGCTGATTGTGTATCATTCCATCAAATCAAAGAACACTCAAAAGTACATACATTGCGTTAGTTGATTTCGTCCGCTGGATCACGACAATGTTGCGAGGTCGGTGATGTTGCGGATGTCGCATCAGATGGTGTTCCCCAAATTGCGCCGTCCGCAGGCATCCCGTTGGAGCAGCAGCCCCGCGCTCCGCAAAACTCCTGAATCTGCGCCTTCTTTGCTTCGTGTCAGGCTTTTTGAAGAAACGCATTCACAAGCCCGCGCTACTTGACGGATATCCTCGACGTTTTTGGCGACACTCACGTGATTCGCAAAAGTCTGTCGTTTGAGCAGGCGACTGCTTGCAGCGCAGAAGCGAAAGAACTATGCCTCGCCAGTGCTATTTCGACCGTCGCACTCGATTTTCGTGACTTGGCCGTTTGTTCAAAGTCTTCCGCGCTCGCGGAATTTCGCGGGCGAATCTTGTGGGCAGTGCTTCCTCCTCCGCCGCTTGGCCCACCTCGGGATTGGTTGGGATTACCCAGGGCTGTGCTGAACCATTCCTGTGACTCCCAGCAGAAACTGGGAGCAATCAGGCATTTCAAACCACTTTGCAACCATTTCAACCGTGCTCAACATGGCCAACTAATGTGCCGATTACGTTTCAGGGAATTCGGAGCTGGGCCAGCCAACCCAACAGCCACAACTCAATCCCATTCTCATTTCTCCCAACGCCAAACTTCTCCACGCTTCTCCACTAGAGCCTCTCACCGCGTTTTCTCCACATGTTTCTCTTGCTCGAGACTAGTTCTGGCGCTACGTCTGCTCTCGCTGGCGATGATTTCTACCTTTCTCGAGGCTATTTGTTGTCGCGTTTGGCTTTTCGTGTGATCGATCGCTCGCTGCGTTCTCCACGGTAGCGTTTCCGGCGGGGATTCGTCTTCTCCGTGCTGTTGAGACGGCGATGAAGCAATAATGTCCGAATAGTTCGTCCGACAAGGTTAGTCTTTTGATGATGTTTCTTCGCGGCGAGATTTCAACGTCAATTTCTAGTTTTCATTTGACGAGATTTCACGTTTAACTTTCGCACATCTCATATGCTCCTTCCCCGATTCGCACTTACTGTCTCACCCACGTCAGATGCACCCGCGCAACCAAACACGTGCTACCGTGGCGCCGCGATTCGGCATTCTTTACGGATTGGTATTCTTTGCTTCGACAGTCCGCCGACCGTTCGTCGCCTCTTCCCTGAAGATTTTCGCGAATGCTTCGGTACGACTCTCAGTTGCTTTTACCACCGCCTTTAACGTTGCTCTCTCATCGCTACGAGCCTCCGAGTTGCATTCGATGCACCACTTCCTGAACCTCGTTAATGTCACATTAGTAACCGCCATTTCCCGTTTTTTCTGCGTTGTCTACGTTCAGATGCTACTGGCGACGCTATCGAAATCGTCCCCGCGTTGTCGCACTGCGAGATCGTCGTCTGCGCGACGTATTCCGGCGAAATCGTCGTCCGCGCGACATACCACAGCGAAATCGCGTCGTCGAACGGCGGAATCGTCGTCTTCACGTCGTCGCACGGCGAAATCGCTGTCTGCGCGTCGTCGCATGGCGAAATCGCTGTCTGCGCGTCGTCGCACGGCCAAATCGTCGTCCGCGATTCGATTCATGGCGAAATGGTCGCACGGTTGTGCTTCCGTTGGCGTGGGGGTGAGCAGCAGCTGCGGCAGCAGCAGCATCAGCGCTCGGTGCTTCTTCAACCGCCAGCTAAGTGCCTTCTCCTCCCTCCACTCTCCCTCGCTTGCTGCCCACCGTTGCTGCTCACCGTTTCTCCCTGAAATACTCGCCACTGGTTGGGGCCCGCCTCACAAGCAACAGACCCCCACCCCCCATTGCAGGTAAACCCATCAGGTACAGGTTCAGCCCCCCTAAAGCCTTACAGCCCCTCAGGTTCCCCTGGGGGTCTGTGGCTTGTGGATGAGCTCCTCCAGTGGCCCCTCCCTGTCTTGCCTCTTGTTCCTGCCGTCTCGCACGCTGCACTCTCCATTCCCCATCCCACTCTCGCTCCCACCTCCCCCGCTGCCTTCACGTCGTTCCTCACGGCCCTCCCCTCCCTGCCCTCCCCGCCCTCCCCATCCCTTCTCTGCCAGGCGAGCCCAAGGCAAGGGGGAGTGCAGCAGGCGAGCAGCAGGCGAGGGGAGCACCAGGGCGGGCAGCAGGAGCGCGGGCAGCGGGGCAGCAGCGCCGGCCTCAACAACGATTGAGGTTGCAGTATCGCCCCTGCCACCACACTCCACTTGAGCCCACTCCCCCTCAGGTTCAGGTTCAGGTTCAGGTTCAGGTTCAGGTTCAGGTGCAGGTGCAGGTTCAGGTTGGTAGCGGCTCTTGTGGGGTTGTGGTTGGCGTCACATGCACCGTCATTTTGCACTCACTCTGCTGCCAGAGTCTTCGCCCTCCCACCTGCCTCTTACTATCTCCCTATCTCTCTGTCCCGTCTTTTCTGCCTCGCAGGACCGTCCCTCCCGTCTTTTCTGCCCCGCTCGCCCTGCCGACTCCCCACTGAAGCACCCCCTCTGCCCGCACCACACAATCAGCTAAGTGCACGTTCCCCCATGCCCGCACCCTTGCCTGCAGCATCGTTTTGTTTGTTTCATCTGCTGTTGCACCGTCCTCTTGAAACAACGCCACTGGTTGAGTACTGCTCACATGCTACAGACCCCTCAACTTCAGGTAACCCTCTCAGGTGCAGGTAACCCTCTCAGGTGCAGGTACACCCCTCAGGTTTTTTTTCAGGTGCCCTTGGGTCTGCAGCTTGTGGCCGTGCCTCAACCAGGGGTTCCTCCTCCCTTCCTTTGTGCTGGATTTCAAGTCACAGTCTCCCATTCAACTTGCTCCCACCACCGCGCTCTGACTAGCTCTGTGTGTGCGCGTTGCAGGTGGCGGGGAGGGGTGTGGGGTCAACACCGACGCTCCCTCACGCCCCTCCCCTGTGGCCGTGCAGGGAGGAGGCACCTGGAGGAGGGCTGCTGCGGAGGGAGGCAGCTGGTGGTGCTGCAGCTGCCTTGAGCTCGCCCTCACGCTATCAGCTAAGTCACCCACTTCCATGCCCTCACCCTTGCCCGCCACATCATGGCTTGTTGCTTTCTTGCTGCCAGTTCCTTTGCCGGTTGTGCTTTCGCCCTTCCCTTTAAAACGATGCCACTGGTTGAGCTCGGTTTACATGCCTCAGACCCCCTCTCTTCAGGTATCTCCTCAGGTGCAGGTAACCCTCTCAGGTGCAGGTCCCCCCTTCAGGTGCAGGTTCCCTTGGCGTCTGTGGCGTGTGGCCTGGCCTCAACCAGTGGCCCTCCCTTTCTCTTCCACATTTGGCAGTTTCCGCTCTCTGCCTTGTGTTGTGCCCATGCCATGCATACTGACCACCGCCGTGTGTGTGCGTTGCAGGTGGAGGGGAGGGGCGCTGGGGTCAACACCGACGCTTCCCCACGCCCCTCCCCTGTGGCCGTGCAGGGACTCGTGGGGACGGGAGGGAGGCAGCACTGCAGCATGGCAATCCCACTGCAGCAAGGGAGAGTATCGGGATGGGCTTGGCCTCTCAAGGTAAGCCTCTTACCTCTCTTTCCCGCTGCACTCGTTTTCTGCTAACTTGCCCTCTTGCGCTCATCCCTTTGATTCGCCCGTGCCTGTTTCAAGGCCTGCACTCACTCCCACTTGACCTTCCCTTCCGTTCTGCCCCCCTCCAGGTCACTCGCAATGCAGCAGAGACAGCTGAAGGGACCTGCTGTGGCAGCGTCAGCAGCGGGGGGCGCGGAAGCAGTAGGGGAGGAGAGGGGAGGGAAGGGGACACGAGGCAGCATCTCTCGGCGGCTCTTCAGCTGCCAGCTAAGTGCTCTCACCTCCCTGGACTCACTCTTGCCTGCTGCTCACTGCTCATACTGAATCACTCTTGTCGTTTTCACACTGTTGCTTTCTTGCTGCCAGTTCCTTTGCCGGTTGTGCATTCGCCTTCCCTTTGAAACAGTGCCACTGGTTGAGCACGATTTGCATGCCTCAGACCCCCTCACTTCAGGTAACCCCCTTAGGTGCAGTGCAGGTATCCCCTTCAGGTGCAGGTTCACCCCTCAGGTTTTTTTTCAGGTGCCCTTGGGTCTGCAGCTTGTGGCCGTGCCTCCACCAGTGGCTCCTCCTCCCTTCCCTTGCGCTGGATTTCAAGTCACAGTCTCCCATTCAACTTGCTCCCACCACCGCGCTCTGACTAGCTCTGTGTGTGCGCATTGCAGGTGGCGGGGAGGGGTGTGGGGTCAACACCGACGCTCCCTCACGCCCCTCCCCTGTGGCCGTGCAGGGAGGGGGGCAGCACTCCACTCGGCTGGGATGGAATGGGAGAGTATCGGGATGGGGTCGTCTGGAACAAGGTGAGCCTCTTTTCCCTCGTGCACTTTTGCTGCTGCCGGTCTTCTTCCCGTGTTCGCTCTCGTTTCCTGCCCTCTCCTTGTCTTCACGCTGCTGCCTGCTCTTCTTCCCATTCTCACTGGTCTCCCTTGCTCCCCTGCCTCCCTCCCTCTCCCTTCCCTCCCAGTACATTGAAGGCTGTAGCAGACCAGCAGCAGCAAGGGAAGCAGAGTAGCAGACCAGCAGCAGCAGTAGCAGCAGCAGAAGCGGCAGCAGCAGCAGCAGCAGCAGCAGCAATGGGGGCTGGGGGTCTAGAGGGCAGACTAGGGTAGATATAGCTGCAGGTGAGGTATGGAACTAGGTGTGGTATGGTAACAGGTGTGGTATGGTTACAGGTGTGGTATGGTTACAGGTGAGGTATGGTAAGCTGATCCCCTCCTCTCTCTTCCCCTCCTGCAGGCAGAAGGTGGGAGCAGTGGAGCAAGGACGGGAGAGTGAAGTGCACGCTCTTACTCACCTCCCCCCCTCTCCCTTCTCCCTCCCTTCCCTCCCAGCAGCACCCTGCCTGGACCACAGAGGAGTCCTGCCCCCCCCCCCCTCCTAATCACCCCCCCTCCTTCCCAGCAGCCTCAGCATCATGGCGCTCTGCACGGCTCAGGTAAGTACAGGTAAGTGGAGGTAAGGAGGCATGGGGGTGAAGTGTGGGGTGGGTGGGTGGGGGAGCATGGGAGCAAGCGGGGAGTTCACTGCCTTAGGGGCAGCATCTCCTGGGGTTGTGTCTTGTGATGGTGGGGTGTGGTGGGTGGAATCTGCGCGGCACGGCACTCGGTGCTCAAGTAACCGATCTGGCGTTCAAGGCCTAATGGACACCGTCAGAGCCGACCGGCCGGCGGCTCTGGTTCGCGTCAGCTCTGGCTACGTCAGGGGTGGGATTTGAGTCTTGGGCTGGAAGCAATTTTCCACTACCACACCTCTCTCCATAAGTCACAGCCTCTAGGGGTGCAGTTTCCTAAAGGAAGTGGGCTTCCTGCTGCTCCTACTGCTGGCAGGTGAGTGCAGGGTGGGCTGGGTGGGTGAGTGGAGAGAGAAGGGGCTGAGTTTCCTAGGGTGAGTGAGTGAGGGGAAAGGGGCTGAGTCCCCTAGGGTGGGTGAGTGAGGGGAAAGGGGCTGAGTCCCCTAGGGTGGGTGAGTGAGGGGAAAGGGGCTGAGTCCCCTAGGGTGGGTGAGTGAGGGGAAAGGGGCTGAGTCCCCTAGGGTGGGTGAGTGAGGGGAAAGGGGCTGAGTCCCCTAGGGTGGGTGAGTGAGGGGAAAGGGGCTGAGTCCCCTAGGGTGGGTGAGTGAGGGGACAGGGGCTGAGTCCCCTAGGGTGGGTGAGTGAGGGGAAAGGGGCTGAGTCCCCTATGGTGGGTGAGTGAGGGGAAAGGGGCTGAGTCCCCTAGGGTGGGTGAGTGAGGGGAAAGGGGCTGAGTCCCCTAGGGTGGGTGAGTGAGGGGAAAGGGGCTGAGTCCCCTAGGGTGGGTGAGTGAGGGGACAGGGGCTGAGTCCCCTAGGGTGGGTGAGTGAGGGGAAAGGGGCTGAGTCCCCTAGGGTGGGTGAGTGAGGGGAAAGGGGCTGAGTCCCCTAGGGTGGGTGAGTGAGGGGAAAGGGGCTGAGTCCCCTAGGGTGGGTGAGTGAGGGGAAAGGGGCTGAGTCCCCTAGGGTGGGTGAGTGAGGGGAAAGGGGCTGAGTCCCCTAGGGTGGGTGAGTGAGGGGAAAGGGGCTGAGTCCCCTAGGGTGGGTGAGTGAGGGGACAGGGGCTGAGTCCCCTAGGGTGGGTGAGTGAGGGGAAAGGGGCTGAGTCCCCTAGGGTGGGTGAGTGAGGGGAAAGGGGCTGAGTCCCCTAGGGTGGGTGAGTGAGGGGAAAGGGGCTGAGTCCCCTAGGGTGGGTGAGTGAGGGGAAAGGGGCTGAGTCCCCTAGGGTGGGTGAGTGAGGGGACAGGGGCTGAGTCCCCTAGGGTGGGTGAGTGAGGGGAAAGGGGCTGAGTCCCCTAGGGTGGGTGAGTGAGGGGAAAGGGGCTGAGTCCCCTAGGGTGGGTGAGTGAGGGGAAAGGGGCTGAGTCCCCTAGGGTGGGTGAGTGAGGGGAAAGGGGCTGAGTCCCCTAGGGTGGGTGAGTGAGGGGAAAGGGGCTGAGTCCCCTAGGGTGGGTGAGTGAGGGGAAAGGGGCTGAGTCCCCTAGGGTGGGTGAGTGAGGGGACAGGGGCTGAGTCCCCTAGGGTGGGTGAGTGAGGGGAAAGGGGCTGAGTCCCCTAGGGTGGGGCTGAGGGGTGAATTCCCTTGGGTGGGATGGGTGAGCAGGAAGGGGTGAATCCCCTTGGGTGGGATGGGTGAGAAGGAAGGGGTGAATCCCCTTGGGTGGGATGGGTGAGAAGGAAGGGGTGAATTCCCTTGAGTGGGATGGGTGAGAAGGAAGGGGTGAATCCCCTTGGGTGGGATGGGTGAGAAGGAAGGGGTGAATCCCCTTGGGTGGGATGGGTGAGAAGGAAGGGGTGAATCCCCTTGGGTGGGATGGGTGAGAAGGAAGGGGTGAATCCCCTTGGGTGGGATGGGTGAGAAGGAAGGGGTGAATAACCTTGGGTGAGATGGGTGAGAAGGAAGGGGTGAATCCCCTTGGGTGGGATGGGTGAGAAGGAAGGGGTGAATCCCCTTGGGTGGGATGGGTGAGAAGGAAGGGGTGAATCCCCTTGGGTGGGTGAGTGAGAGGGAAGGGGGCTGAGTCCCCTTGGGTGGGTGAGGGGAGAGGTAAGGGGAAAGGGGGTTGAATCTTCTTGGTTGGGTGGGTGAGAGGGAAGGGGTTAAATCTCTTTGAGGGGATGGATTCCCCTGGTTGGGTGAGTAAGAGGGAAGGGGTGAGGTATGCTGGGTAGGTGGTGAGTAGTTGGGGGTGGGTGCGTGAGCAGGTGGGTGGGCGGGCAGTGACAGGGTGGGTAGGTAGTTGAGTATGTGGGTGGGATGGGTGGTTTCTGGGGAGCTGAGTCTCCTGAGGCACTGGGCCGTCTGCTGCTCCCACTGCTGCCAGCTGAATGTGGGGACGGCCGAGGTAAGGTGGCTGGGGGGTGGGGGGTTGGGCACTGGGGGGCTAGGTGGATGGTGGGTAGTTGGGGGTGTGTGGATGAGCGGGTGGGTGGTTGGGTGAGCGGGTGGGTGGTTGGGAGTGGGTGTGTGACTGGGGGTTGGTGGGTCGTTTGAGTGCAGTTGTCGCCACCGCAATAGTTGACTCAGGGGAGTTGACAGTGACAGTGTGAAGGTTTGATTGTCAAATGCTGCTGCTACAAGTACAAGGTGTTACAGTGGGGAGTTGAGAGTGACAGTGCGAGACGGGAGGGGCAGGCGAGGAGGAAGGGTGGATCTTGGAGGCCTGGCGGATAGAGTGTGCGGCAGATGCTTTGAATGTTGCTCTCCTTGTCCTCACATGTTGCTCACTCCTCCCTCACACCCCCACCCATCCCTCTCCCCCCCTTGAGAGGAGCCCCACGCACGGCAGGGTGGTGGAGTGGACGACAGTGGGAGCATCGAGTTCACCTTCCGCTTGAAAGAGCCCCCCTCGGGGCAGTTGCTGCAGCACAAGCACACTGCCTCGCACACCTTCAAAGGGCTCTTCAGAGAGCGCGGTTACCGCAGCCTGCTCAACCCCTTGAGCACGGTTGTGAGGCACAACGGCAAGTACTTGAGAAACGGGGTGATGCACCTCAGGGCGGATCTGAGGGTGCTGCAGCTGGGGGAGGGCCTAGCGCCCTTTGACTGATGTACGGTAGGCAGTGTAAGATGGGGAGACACAGTTGAGGAGGCACATTGGAAAAGAAGCTGAGCTTATGACAGCCTCCAGGAATGGGATGATGCACCTCAGAGCAGATCTGAAGGTGCTGCAGCTGGGGGAGGGGCTGGCTGGCGCCTTTCGACTGATAGGGGTGGTGTTAGATGTGAACTTCTTCAGGCTGATTTTTCAAAACCCAAGCACTAAAGTCTGATCCTTGAGGTTGAATATTTTCAAGCTTAACAGAATATCTTTAAATATAACAGTCATATCGTGTAGCCTATATGATAAACTTTCATAGATGTCTAAGAACTTCATACAACGTAGCCTAGATGAAAGATATTATTTCTATCAGACGTGCACTTTTATTGCTCCAACACACTAGTCATCAATATTTTTTTATGAATCTCGATGTGATATGATATCAAGCATATGAATGAAGTTGTGAAGCAGCTCTAGTTTTTATCGAGTGTGATCTGTTCAGAGCCAAGCAAAATATCTGTTCATTTCTGCACGAAGCAAATCGGTCCGTTCGATCACGAGATATCTCATCATTCTTGGAACCCTGGGCGCGAGATTTCCGCAAACACCCCAAAGCTGCGCAACCCGCAGCCTACCCGTTGGTTTGCCACCCGGAACCTGGGGGTGCGCTCCGCGAATCAAAAAGTGTCAGCGAATTTGGGGCCCAGCTTGCGGGTTTGGTTACGTCACTTCACGAGTGTCAGCTTACGCCACTTCACGAGTTTCGTGAACACGAGATGTCCGTGTACAGGTTGGTTGTATCCCCAATTGACGACACGATATTGTTTCGCGAACTCAATTCGGACTAACTGAAATCGTTCGTTGTCCCCCTTGCGGAAAACGGTCATTCCGCCACTTTGGGGAACCGAGCGCGCTTTTGCAGCCGCGCGATGCGCCAATATATCTCGGCAGTGCTTCTTTCTCCACCGCCATACCAACCTCGGGATTGGCTGAGACCTCTCTGGGCTGTGCTGAACCTTGCCTGAGATGGTCAGGGACGAAGCAGACACAAAACAATCAGGCGACCTTTCCCAACACGTTTCCACCGGACTGAATCTTCAAGTACCTCCCTTGAC